CTCATTAACTACTTTTAAGCTATTTTAAGACCCTCAAAATGACAAGTTTCAAAACGGTGATTTTGCCTTTAATCCTGAATGAAAGAAAATTTTAATTATAAGCTTAAGAATGTAAAGAATCTGAAATAAACAGCAAAAAGCTAAATAAGATTTTGATTTTAGAAAGTTACAAATGGATTAAGGGTCCAGATAAAATTGGAATATTGAAGCTTTTACAATAAGATTTTGGAATTAATTATAAAGTACAAACAGCTTCTCGTGGGAAATAGATCCTGTTTTGGTTTTGCCAAAAAAAAAAAAAAAAAAAGATAAATAATTCAGTGATTTCAAAAACTGGACTCTAGAGGGCAGTAACAATTTTAGGTAGAAGAAAGATATACAGATAGTCCTTGACTTATGACAGCATTTAGGACCAGAATTTCCATCGCTAAGCAACGTGGTCGTAAAGGGATTGCCACATCACATAGCAACAGCAATCCCTGCAGCCCCAGGTACTGTCGTTAACTGAATCCCATGGTCATTAGGCGAGGCAATTTCTTGCTGGCTTTCCACAACCAAAGTCAGTGGGGAAGCCAGCAGGAAATTGCAAGTCTCAGGCCTGCAGGCAGGTAAGTGGCTGTTGCCAGGTGGGGGAGGGTATGCAAGAGGTGCTGTGCAGGTCAGGAAGGGTGTGAGGGGGTGTGCGAGGGGCACCGTGCAGGTCAAGGAGGATACACAAGGGGCACTGCATGGGTTGGGGAGGATGTGTGGGGTTGCATAAGATGTGCTATGTGGGTCGGGGGGGATGTACAAGTGGCCAGTGTAGCACGAGGGCAGAGGGGCTCAGGGAGGGTAAGTTGGGGGGGAGCCTTACTCCAGCAACTTGCAACCTTCCCTGCTGGCTCCCCCATTGACTTTCTGGGGAAGTTGGCAGGGAAGGTTGCAAATGGCGATCATGTGATTGTGGGGAACTTGGCAACCATTTGTAAGTGCAAATGGATTGCCAAGCACCCAGATCATGATCACATGACTGCAGGGGTGCTGGGGTGGCCAGAACTCAGAGGACCAGTCATAACCAATATTTGTTCAGTTCCATCGTCAAATAGTTGTAGGTGGAGGACTACCTGTACAGGCCTGCAAGATGGTGCAAAAAGTTACGACAACAAAAATAGTGAAGGAGCCTTTTGAAGAATAGCCACAATATCAACAATGTCAGTAGTGATGTCTGCTTCTATGGATAGCTTATGTCCAAAGATGTTATTAAAGAAATGTCAGAACAAATTTTATCTGACAAGATAGAGATGGTATTGAATGTGGATTTACAGTGGGGCAAAAAAGTATTTAGTCAGCCACCAATTGTGTAAGTTCTCCCACTTAAA